CAAGGTTCAGAGCCAATAAACTGTACTTAGATGCTCGAGTGTCAAAATCTTGGTGCAAACTGCAACCCTAAAATAAATAAATAAATCATACCGGGAGTCCTGGAGGCTGTTTCATTGAGTACACAGTGATGAGGCTGTTTACAGATGCCTGCTGCTTATTGCACCCAAACCAGCAACTAATATTTTGATGGCCTCAGTGTTATTTGGGTTTCACTGCAGGGAAGCTTCCAGTGTGACACCTCAGAAATCCTGCTCTCCAACTGCATCCGCATCTCAGGCCTTAACTCTCAGCTCTGACCTTGTTGTGTTGCTGCTTCCCATCCACGTGTGTCAGGGCCGTGTACCTGGCTCTGGTGTGAACACCGCTGAGCTCCTAAACTGCCACACATACACAGATGTAACTGAAATGTGAGCCACGTGCGCACAAGAATAACAACCAGGTCAAATGGCCCAGTTTCCTCCCAAGCGCTACACACAGACACATACAACAACCGATATGCTGAGAGCAGGATTAGCCATAAGCCTGAGAAAATGAAAAGGTTTGGAATTAGGAGACAGTAGTGACTGATCTCAGGTCAGGAATATTCCAGAGACCAGTAGAAAGGTGTAAGACCTGGTTACTGCTAGGTTACCTGAGAGGTGGGCAGGTCAGTAGTGCACTGGAGCCAAACCATTAAGTGCTTTATAGACCACTAGAAAAAGCTGATTCTGTATTTTACAGGGAGCCAGTAAAGAGACTGAAGAATCAGAGTAATATGTTCATATGTAAAGGTTGGTGTTTGGACTGCAGCGTTCAGAATGAGCAGTAATCCAGTCTGCTTGAGATGAAACCATGGGCCAAGTTTTCAGTCAGCTTGAGGTATGAATCCTCTAATTTGGGTTATGTTCTTTAGATGCTAAAAAGCTATTCTAGTTAAATTACTGATAAAGTTTATCAAAGGTGAGGTCAGCATCAAGAATGACCTGCGCACTGTAGGACCCGACTCAGGTGAATCAGGCCCTGACAGACCACAACCAGTAAATTAAGCTGAATGCTGGACTGGATTCATTGCTTTGTTCTTGATAGTTCCAGTTAAGCTGACAGGAGTCTGTAGTGAGACAACACCATCTGGTGTTCAGGAGCTTCAAAGACGTTGATAACATCAGAGTCTAGTGTCACTACTGTTCTTAGACCTGATGACCGGTGTGAACTTAGGATGTTGCTCGGCTGTTTCAGGTGTGTGATGCGGCGGCTGCATTGTGGTAGCCAGGACTCTTTGCTAAGTGGCGGCTGTGTGTCGTCCCTGGAGCTCAGGATGGACCAATCTGTGATCATCAAACCAGTCCACTCTTCCCTGCTGGGACAGGACTACTGCTTCGAGGTGACACATTAACTAGACCCAGGCTGCACCCAGCCTACACACACTAACAACACATTTTGACTCCCATGTTTCCATGACTCTGTCTCTCAGGTAACAACCTCAACAGGCACCAAGTGTTTCTCGTGCCGCTCGGCAGCAGAAAGAGATAAATGGATGGAGAACCTACGCCGAGCTGTCCACCCAAACAAAGACAACAGCAGAAGGGTGGAAAATGTCCTGACAGTGTGGGTCATTGAGGCCAAAGACCTGCCCGCAAAGAAAAGGTAGGGGGCCTTACGCCCAGAGCACACTGTCAGAATTAAGGGTAGGATCGTGTACATGCCGACCATACTGTAATCGTGTAGGCAATGAGCGACTCAGCCTTGGAGGAAGCCTGAGTTTCAGGGCTCGTATACAGGCTGTAACTCTCCACCATTAGCTCAAGAGTTCTCTGCTAATCACACAGGCCGACATGAAACATATTGTATCTTTATCCATAAGTTAAATATTTTCAACTACAGTGCCTGAACAACCATCTAATGCAATATCACAAACCCCTGCAGTGGATCAAACCTCACCTCATGACAGCAGCACAAAGACTGACTTTACCTGCTCTCAGAAATGCCTGCAACGTGATCAGGATGTGCTGCTATTGATTTATCATGGCTCATAAGCTACTATCATATGCAGCACTGCAGTAAAGTTAGAAAATTAATCACTGTGCCTGCCCCCACCTGTCAGCTTTCTGACAGACAGGAAGCAGCAGGTGAGGCTGGGGAAAACCACATCTAGCACCTGGACTATCAGCACAGGCGCCCCCGGGGATGTGTGCTCTCCCCACTGCTGTTCTCCCTCTACACCAGTGACTACACCTCAGGGAACCCCTCTGTTAAACTCTGAAGTTCACAGATGACACAGCGATCATCGGTCTCATTCAAGACGGTGACGAGTCAGTCTACAGGTGGGAGGTCGAGCAGTTGGTCCTGTGATGTGATCACAACAACCTGGAGCTGAACACGCTCAAAACAGTGGAGATGACAGTGGACTTCAGGAAGAGCCCTCCCACCTTACCCCCACTTACCATACTTGGCAGCACTGTATCAGCAGTAAAGTCCTTCAAGTTCCTGGGCTCCACTATTTCCCAGGACCTGAAGTGGACGTCCAACATCAGGACCATCACCAAGAAGGCACAGCGGAGGATGTACTTCCTGCGCCAGCTCAGGAAGTTCGACCTGCCCCAGGAGCTGCTGATACAGTTCTACAGAGGAATCATCGAGTCTGTCCTCTGCACCTCCATCACTGTCTGGTTTGGCTCAGCAACCAAACAGGACAAGTACAGACTTCAGCGGACAGTCAGGACTGCAGAAAAGGTCATTGGTGTGAGCCTGCCCTTCATGGAGGACCTGTACACCGCACAGGCCAAAAAGAGGGCAGAGAGGATCACTGCAGACCCCTCACACCCTGGACACAAACTGTTTGAGCTCCTTTCCTATGGACGGCATTACAGGTCACTATATGCCAAGACAACCAGGCACAAGGACAGTTTCTTCCCCAGAGCCGTCACTCTGATGACTATGACTGAAGCAACAGGACCCGGCAACCACCGGAGTGCAGTAATTGTAAATAGTGCCGCTACATGCACCAGTCTGATAGCTTGAAATGTGTATATATGTAGATAATGTTTATGAACACTGCCTCTCCTCCTTCTCTCACATTTCCCCTACCTTTGATTGCACTTTTCTATTGTCTGTTGCCTAAAACACACTGAGAGTCTGATTCCTTGTATGCTCAACATACGTGCCGATTTAAAACGGATTCTGATTATTCAGACATTCAAAGAATCCAGATCAGTAAGTCATAATTGAAACCTTGTTAAAACACAAACGACATCTCTGTCCAACCGCAGTAAGGTAAACAACAAGCTACTTCATTTTCATCAAACAAGTGTTGCACTTTGCGGACGGTCCTTGTGCACTTGTCTCACAGCCAGCGGCACATAGTAACCAGTTTGTCCAGGGTGGAGGACGGATTGTTTTCATGAAAATTTGGTTGTGGTTTGTTGTCTACCTTACTGAGGTTGGAAAAAAGCATTGTGTGTGTTCTAAAATCTGCAAATACTCATTTAAGAAAATTTGTAAACGTTCCCACACCAAGTCAGAACTAAGGCTGTTATTTATTTACAGTTACCACAGGTACTTCTCCAAGCTGTCTGGGTGTCGGTGTGTAGTAATAGTAATTTTATACCACAGGTACTTCTGTGAACTGTGTCTCGATGACAGTCTTTATGCTCGGACGTCGTGTAAACTGAAGACCGACAACATATTTTGGGGTGAGCGTTTTGACTTCAGCAGTTTGCCATCCATCAGCGCAGTCACCCTCCACCTCTACAAAGACACTGACAGGAAGAGGAAGAAGGACAAGAGCAGCTATGTCGGGTTGGTTAACATCCCTGTTGCCACGGTGACTGGCAGACAGCTGGTAGAGAAGTGGCACTCAGTGAGCACGCCCAGTACAATTCGTGGTATGTACCCTGTGTTTGTGTGTTCCTTCTTGTTTTTGGCTTTGAAATGGTGGCATCTGCTGAGCTCAGGTTTGTTATTGGTCCACACATGGTCTTTATCAGGGCATGAAGTCATCTCATTTGTCACGACATGTCAAGACTGAAACGTTAAACATGGATTAGTTTTTTTAAGACCTTGAAAATGGAAATTCACCAATCTACAATTTAATGACAACTGTGGAAGTTCATCTGCTGAGGATCAAGTAATGGGGTTAGGGTTCAACAGGGTTCACATATTTAAATACCTGATTTATATACCTGCCTGGCACTGCAGCATCTCCACTAATGTGTTTCAGGTAAGTCCTCTGTGCCGACGGTGCGGATCAAAGCTCGGTATCAGAGTATTGTCATCCTGCCGATGGAGCAGTACAAAGAGTTTGCAGAGTACATTAGCTCCAACTACCTGCTGCTGTGTAACACTCTGGAAGCCTCCATCAGCCTGAGAGCCAAAGAAGAGCTGGGTGCTGCGCTTGTCCACATCCTGCACAGCACTGGCAAGGCCAAAGTAACTACACCCACCACCCTGCACCACCCACCTTCACATACAAGTACAGCACCTGCAAGGTCAGGGCAACTACACTAGCTACTAACCCTGCTTATTATCCTACACCATCCACCTTCATATTACGATCAGGCCCGTTCCCTTCAAAATAAAATTCCCTCCTTCACAGTGCAGCCAAGTGCAGGATAACCACAACCACCTTCAAAATGAAACCACTGCACCTTGACCCCTCTTAGCCTAATGAGGATGCCCTTTGACCCCTCTCTGCAGGACTTCCTGACCGACCTGATGATGTCAGAAGTGGATCGTTGCCGTGACAACGATCAGCTGATCTTCCGAGAGAACACGCTGGCTACAAAAAGCATTGAGGAATACCTGAAGTTGATTGGACAGAAGTACCTGCAGGATGCCCTCGGTATACGAGTGTCAGAGAGATCTGCATTTATGTGTCCTGTTTATTGTTTATTGATCATTTATTAATAACAGTTGACGCACCGACTATTGGCAGGTTAAAGTATCCAGGCAACCAACAAACAGTAGTCGGCATACTCAGGTGTTTCCCTCTGTGTGTTCAGGTGAATTCATCAAAGCTCTGTACGAGTCCGATGAGAACTGTGAGGTTGATCCATCTCGCTGTTCAGCCTCTGACCTTGCAGAGCATCAGGCCAACCTGCGGATGTGCTGCGAACTTGCCTTCTGCAAGATCCTTGACTCGTACAGGTGCACACGTAAATACAAACACTGTAAATGCATTGGCCATATGCTGTTTGTAATATTTATCCTGGTCTATTATTCCACGTCCAAACAGGGTCTTCCCCCGAGAGCTGAAGGAGGTGTTTGCATCATGGCGACAGGAATGCGGTAGTCGGGGGAGACCAGACATCAGCGAGCGTCTCATCAGCGCCTCACTGTTCCTGCGCTTCTTGTGTCCAGCTGTGATGTCACCGTCACTGTTTGACCTGATGCAGGAATACCCTGATGAGCGCACAGCAAGAACATTAACCCTGATTGCCAAAGTCATCCAGAACCTTGCCAACTTCAGCAAGTAAGCCTGGGCTTTTACTATGAAGGAAGTGAAGCTTTTATTGATACCTGCTTACATGTATCTTAAAATGTCCACCTGTATGCTGCCTGTTGCTGCAGGTTTGGTACTAAGGAGGAGTACATGCTGTTTATGAATGACTTTGTGGAGCGGCAGTGGAGCAGCATGCAGCGTTTCCTGCAGGAGATTTCAAACCCAGATGGACTGAACCACACCGCTGGCTTCGACGGATACATTGACCTTGGTAGAGAGCTATCCAGTCTGCACACCTTGCTGACTGAGCTTGACCAGGTAACACCTGAACATGTAAAACATCTGGACAGGTGAGCTCTTAACACCTTAACACCTGTCTCTCTGTCTCCAGTCCTGCCTGTCGAAGCTGGGTCCTCTTCCTAGGATCCTCAGGGACGTGTCGATGGCTCTCGCTAACCCGGGGGGTGTGACTAATCATGGGAGCGTGGCTGTTTCCTCTCCTGAGCCTCAGCGGGTGGTGTCTCCTCCCCCTATGTTGCCACCTCCTCTGTCCCCACCCCTGTCTCCTCCTCTGGCCACCTGTAGTCCTTCGGTGGGCCTGCAGGGCGGTGTCGGACTGGATGGAGGGTGAGTAGTTTAAACGAGTTTAAACAGACTGTTTTTTATTGCGGAGACACTGTTCAGTTACAGCTGTGACTTCTCTGTAACATACATATTTGTCCAGTTCAGACAACCACAGGCTCAGACATAGACATGTTTGAAGTGTTTCCTGGGGTTGCTTTATGAATACTTGAATGGTGTGACACTCAGGAGTTGGTCATTGCTTATTGTTTGGTGTTCTGTATGTGGGAGAAAAAGTGGTCACTGAAGGTGTTGCTTTATGGTTACTTAGGTGTTACTAATACCAGACCATCGTGGTGAAGAAGGAGCTGACCCAAAAGGCAAAGCTCTCAATTTACTAGTCAGTCTATGCTCCAACCCTCACCTAGAGTCACAAGCTGCGGGTAGTGACCAAAAGAATAAGACTGCAAATACAAGTGGCCAAAATGAGTTTCCCTTGCAGGGTGACCAAACTGACCTTGGATAAGTGGTGGAAGATTAGCTTGGCACCCCTCATAACTCCAAATAGTCTGTAATTATTACAATAAAACCAGAGAGCCTCTTCCTAAAAACAAGAGGATAGTTCATGAACACGCACAACTCCTGTTGCCAGTCAGGAAGCTACAACAATGCATCAACAAAAACTTTGACAAACAAGCTACATTTTTGACAATGACTATACCTCGAATCCTACCTGACATGTTCAAGCCAGAATATGAAAGTGGACAGCACAACAAATCAGGACAGCATTAATTAATGTGAATGTCTCCTCCATAGATAGGTAAACAGCAGTATATGTACCGATGATAAGAAATGTGTAACACTAAACAAAGCCGGTAACTGAGAAACCCCATATTTTAACTGGCATAATGCAGACATAGTAACTTCTCCAGCCTCACAACAATTCTCTCTAACGTTACAGAAACAAGGCATTAATAGACACACAGTCTGTGTTTGTAAAACTTATCGTTATGTCCCACCGAGTAGTGGAAACATCGCCCCCTTTCAAGTAGCTCCAAGGCTGGTAAATCCAACCAGTGGTCACTGCGTCTTACACGACCACATACAGTCCCAAAGTAGTGAAATTATTTCCAACAGGTAGCGTAGCGCCGGCAATAACATCATGGGTCATTAATCCGCTGGTTAACCAGCAACACATCACCTGCTGCAGACACACTGGCCTCAAGCAGTCAGAACAAGCACGTACTGTGCTCTGGAGGAATCCAGCGTTGATCAGCTGATCACTAACCATGGTGGGGGCTTCACTGGCGGCTGCTTGTAGGTTAGACCCGGTCAGGTAAAACAGTGAGTCCCTGTACAGGAACATTCCTGGACATGCAGTAACCTCAGGCCCTGTATTTGTCTCCACATCCTCTGGTCACAGTGCAGCAGCAGGAGGGAAAATGTATCCACAAAACCAGGTGCAGTCGAAAAATACAGCTTTCACAATGGCACTAGTGGATATCAGGAAAGCTCACATGAACACACGCAACAGCCTGGAGAATATGACCATTGAAGGAAATCCAGCTTTCACAATGGCACTAGTGGATGTCAGGAAAGCTCACATGAACACACGCAACAGCCTGGAGATTATGACCATTGAAGGAAATCCTTAAACTATCACGTAAGACTTTACATAGATTTAAGAAAAGATCTTGCCGGTGAGAGTGGCTGCATGTTGTATTTCTGTCTCTCACTGCTTCGTATTTATCTTGCTGTACTAAAACTCCAGACCAAACCAATGTGGAACCAGAACATTTACTGACTTTTCAGCCAGGTCATGTCTGTGCAAATTCTTCGTCATCCAGGTCATAGTATGCTGAAAAAACTTAGAAGAAGGGTGTAGTTTTAGGTAGAAGATGTTTCACTTCTCATCCAAGAGGCTTCATCAGTTCTGAGCAGCCAGGTCACAATTTATCTGACCTCAGATACTCAGCAAGTGTGTTGTGCTGTGTGAAATAACGCAGCATAGCGTTTTCTCAGTGGCTGTTTTTGATTTACTGGCAAAGTAATTTATTTATATTCAAAATTAATACTCAGGTAATTTTTCTCAGTCTTTGAACCCTTTTGCCATTATGGCAAAGTATATGAAATATGTCTTAAAATTGCATTTAAAGCGGTCTGCAGTGGTCTTAAAAAGTCATAAATTTAACTTGATGGAATTTGCAGAAACCCTGATATAGTAGTCTATGCTTGCTAGGCACAAGCAGCAAAAGATGCAGCAATAAAATGAAAGAATATAATAAGTGTATGCTGCATGGGAGCAGCATGTGCAGCAGTCAACAGTCATTGTGCAATTATGCATGTGCAAACTGAGAATGTAAACAGTACATCACGTATTTCCTGGTAATAAAATCCTCAGCTGTTTAGGAGTCTGATGGCAGAGGGAAAGAAAGAGTTTTTCAGTCTAGTGGTCCTGCACTTCACACTTCTGAATCTCCGGCCAGAGGGCAGAGAAGTGAACAGTCCGTGCTGGGGGTGTGTTGGATCTTTGAGGGTGGAGGCAGCTTTCCTATGCACCCTGCGGTGCTAAATGCTCTGCAGAGAGGGCAGTGGAGTCCTGGTGATCTTCTCCACAGTCTTTACCACTCAGGCGCTTGTGGTCCATAGCAGTAGTGCTGCCATACCAGACAGTGATGCAGCTGTAGTAGTTGCAAATGCAAAACGTTATGTTTGGCGTAAAAGCAACACAGCTCATCACCCTGAACACACCATCCCCACTGTCAAACATGGTGGTGGCAGCATCATGGTTTGGACCTGCTTTTCTTCAGCAGGGACAGGGAAGATGGTTAAAATTGATGGGAAGAGGGATGGAGCCAAATACAGGACCATTCTGGAAGGAAACCTGATGGAGTCTGCAAAAGACCTGAGACTGGGACGAAGATTTGTCTTCCAACAAGACAATGATCCAAAACATAAAGCAAAATCCACAATGGAATGGTTCACAAATAAACATATCCAGGTGTTAGAATGGCCAAGCCAAAGTCCAGACCTGAATCCAATCGAAAATCTGTGGAAAGAACTGAAAACTGCTGTTCACAAACGCTCTCCATCCAACCTCACTGAGCTCGAGCTGTTTTGCAAGGAGGAATGGGCAAAAATTTCAGTCTCTCGATGTGCAAAACTGATAGACATACCCCAAGCGACTTACAGCTGTAATCGCAGCAAAAGGTGGCGCTACAAAGTATTAACTTAAGGGGGCTGAATAATTTTGCACGCCCAATTTTTCAGTTTTTTATTTGTTAAAAAAGTTTGAAATATCCAATAAATTTCGTTCCACTTCATGATTGTGTCCCACTTGTTGTTGATTCTTCACAAAAAATTACAGTTTTATATCTTTATGTTTGAAGCCTGAAAGGTGGCAAAAGGTCGCAAAGTTCAAGGGGGCCAAATACTTTCGCAAGGCACTGTATATAAGACCCTACAGCTCACAGTGCATGTCAGAGCAAATGAGAATCATGAGGTCAAAGGAACTGCC